GACCTGGGGTCAACTTGGACTTGGGACAGACTTTGGCAAAGGACTTTCCTGCACCTGTGTTTTCTCTCCTGTTCAGTGAATGTGGAGACCACCCCCGCACAGCTGTGGTGACAGGGCAGCAGGGGCAGCAACTGTCGCTCTGGAGATCTGAGAAGTGGCGGTGGTGGTCTCCGCAGCACTCTCTCCCAACACCACCTGCTAGCCTGAGAGTTGCTCAGAACAGAACACAGGGAAAGGGGCGACCCTGGGCAGATGCATCCTTCAGGCATCCTCCTTGAGGCCACCTCCGGGCAATGCTGCGTTTCCTGTCCAGCTGCATCTCGGGCTGCCCTCGCCCCTTGCATTGCTCTAGGCCACTTCGTCCTGCTCAGCCCTGCACCAGATTGTGCTTTGGAGCGCTGGGATGGCTCCACTCTGCAGAAGCACTGCTGGGGTAAAGCACTCCAAAGCAGGGTCGCGGGCTCCGTCCATCCCATATTTCTTGGGACTCACACTTGTCTGTGAATCCTCTTCCCTCCACAAGGAGAAGCAGTCAGTGTCCACTGGAGCCGCTACTGCACTGCCTAAGCAAATCCCAGACCTTTTGGTACCCTACTGGGCATTAAGTCTAAAAGAAGGTTGTTTTGTTTGCTAGTTTGTTTTGTTTTTTTCATTTTGTTTTGTTTTGTCCCATTTACTACCGAGAGCCTCAGTTAGTGTTATTTTAGGTCCCAGAGCCCAAAATCTTGAAGACGGAATTTGAACAGTCACCTGAAATGAATTGTTGGTGTCTATGTATGTGCATTGAGTTAGTAATGACTTCCCAGAGGGCTCCCAATCCTCTGGCTCCTCACAGCTGTTCCTTGGGACTCTCCAAGGGCTTGGAGCCTGTTTGAGTCCTAGGAAATGGGTGGGGACACCTGAGGAGCCCTGCCACCCTATGGTGTGCATGATCAGGAGATTCCTGAAGCCGAGCTGGTCAGTTCTTCTCTTTCGGGTTCTCTGGACGCTGGTACAGCCGGATGAGGCCTTCATCATGAAGCCGCTTCCATACTGCTTTCTCTAACCGGAAGTCATGGTTTGTGTAAAAGATCAGCCGTTTCCACGTCTTATCGTAGTAGTGGTCAGAGAAGCGCTCGTGGCCCTGGGTGATGAAGCCATAGGCACTCACCTGCATAGAGATGGGGGGAGGAGATGGAACTGTCCTGGCTATGTCCTGAGGTTTCTGTCATGGGAAGTCTGACCCTTTCTCCTTTATCCTGATTCTGTCCCCAGGGGTCTGCATGCAGGTTCCCCGGAGACACATGCATGCCCATCCCACTCCCCATTCCCATTGGAGGTTTTCAGCCACCCCCTGAGCTGAGTTCTACAACCTTACCTGGTCACAGAGATGGAGGGCCGTCAGCAGCAAGAGGGCACCAGTGGTGGGGCGGTATATTCTCCAGTGGGCAGTGTTTAGGGTCTTTGACCTCAGAAACCTGCTCAAAATACCCAGATGCCCACTGTCAGGAGACAGCGAGGCCGAGAGGGCACAGCCCC